AATTATGGTAAGGTCAAGAAAATTGAGTGATTGGACACATTTTGAGACTATAATGAACACTAGAGGTAAAGAATACAGAATTTGTGACTATAACAAGACTTAATCCAAATTTTGTATTTCTCTAGGAGCTGTCTTAAGAAATTTCAGCTCAAAGTTTTATCATCTAAGATATAAATAGGAATACCTGCCTTATGTAGCTGTAGACTTCAAATAAGATAATGTATTAACTTTATCCATTGTTTGATTCATAGAAAGTACTCAGTAAATTACAATATAAACTGGCATCATCATCACTGATACAATATATTCAGACAACCTGAAGATATAATAAATTCACTTATTCATTATGCATGGTTGTGGCAGAGCATGTTTTGTTTAATTAATTAGTATAAAATAAAAATTTAAATTCATTTTTCAACATAACGTCTTGTTCATCTCATTGTTGCAGTGGGTACACCTGTATCCTTATTTAAACAAAGAACTCTAAGAACAACAGATGCTGGAGGGGATGTGGACAGAAGGGAACCTTACTGCATTGTTGGTGGGAGTGTAAACTTGTTCAACCACTTTGGAGAGCAGTATGGAAGTTCCTCAAAAGACTCCACATAAAACCCCCTTATGACCCATCAATCCCACTTTTGAGCATTTATCCAAATGATCATAAACAAGACCACACTAAAGCTACCAGCACAACTATGTTTATTGCAGCATATTTACCATAGCTAAGATATGGAACCAACCCAGATGCCCCTCAGTAGATGAATGGATCAAGAAAATGTGGTATATATACACAATGGAATTCTATGCCTCCATTAGAAAGAATGACATTGTCCCATTTGTTAGGAAATGGAAAGACTTGGAAAAAATTATATTAAGTAAGTAAGCCAGGCCCAAAGAAACATAGGTCCCATGGTTTCCCTTATTTGCAATAACTAGCATATGTCTGAGACAAGAAGAAATGGTCAGATAAGTTGATGTCAAGCAAAATGAACCCCAAGTTAAGGACTCAAATGTTTTTTTTCTTTCTTGCTATTGTGTCTAACATATTTACAAGATATTTCTTTGTTGCTTTGTATATTCCTCCCCCACAGTATAACCCCTGTTTTCACTGTATTTGATGTTGGTATAATTTGTGGAGGGGAAGGGAAAAAACAAATTGTTTAACTAGGGATACAGGTGGTCCCATTGCACCAATGAGACGTGCAAGATGTTATGTCAAAAATAAACTTTAAAACTTTGGCATGGGGGGTGGGGTGGGTGAGATGGGAAGGGATGGCAAAGGGAAACAAAGGAGGAGGCAGCAATGCTTGATAAAAAAAATGCACTCACTGCCTTGCCCATGTAATTGTAACCCCTCTGTACGGTATTTTCACAATTTAAAAAAATGTTTTGTTTTTTTCCCTTCCCCTCCACAAATTATACCGACATCAAATACAGAGAAAACAGAGGTTATACCGTGGAGGAAGGACATACAAAGCAACAAAGAAATCATCTTATAAATATGTTAGAAACAATAGCAAGAAAAAAACATTTGAGGCCTTATCTTGGGGTTCATTTCGCCTAACCTCAACTTACCTGACCATTTCTGCTTGTGTCAGACATATACTAGTTATTGCAAATAAGGGAAACCATGAGACCTATGTTTCTTTGAATTTACAGGGATGGGAAGGGGAAACAAAGGAAGAGGCAACAATGTGTGATAAGAAATGTACTCATTACCTTGCTCATGTAATTGTAACCCCTCTGTATGGTATTTTCACGATAAAAAAATAAGAAAGAAAAAAAATAAGTAAAAGAAATAAAATAAAATTTTAAGACAGGTGCCAGTGGCTCATGCCTGTAATCCTAGCTACTCAGGAGGCTGAGATCTGAGGACTGCGGTTCAAAGCCAGTCCAGGCAGGAAAGTCCATGAGACTCTTATCTCCAATTAAACACCAGAAAACTGGAAGTGGCCCCGTAGCTCAAGTGGGAGAGCGCTGGCCTTGAACTGAAGAGCTTAGGGACAGAACCCAGGCCCAGAGTCAAGCCCCCAACTGATAAAAATAAATAAATAAAAAGATAAAATATCAGAAATGAACATTTTAAATTCCCCAGGCTCACAGCTCAACTGATGTAGAGAAGCTCTCAGTATCATGCCATAAGTCTTGTGTTTTTATTTCCTCTGTGTGTGCTGATCCTGAGTCTTAAACTCAGGGCTAACTGCTGTTTCTGAGCTTTTTTTTTTTTTTTTTTGCTAAAAGCTAGCACTCTACTACTTGAGCCTCAGCTCCACTCCTGGCTTTGTTTGGTGCTTAATTGGAGTTAAGGGTGTCACAGACTTTCCTAATTGGCCTGGCCTTAAAACATAATCCTCAGATTTTCAGCCTCCTTAGTAGCTAGAATTTGTACAGGCATGAGCCATTGTGGCCAGGCTTATCAGTTGTTTGAAAATCATTTTGTGAGCTGCTGAGTGTTTCTCTGCTCTTAATTTTGTGAAAACATGACTCCCCAAAAGACAATGGGCCAAAGAAGTAAGGAAAAAGCAAATGTGCTTAAGTGCTAAAGTGGCATTGCTAGGCTTGTTGAAAGGCAGCATATCTATAATGGAAGTTGGCAACTTATAGGAAAAAAATGAATCAAGCAGAAGCGTACAGACGCTTGGTACCTTGAGCATTTGTGGCTATACAGTGATCTCCTCAGACTCATATACTGGAGATACCAACCAGCTACTATGTATCCCTGTTCTATTCAGGTGTTCAATTTCTAGCTCTAATGCAATGACTCTTCTCTGGCTATTTTTGGCTAACCATTGAGAAACTATGCACATATGATTTTCACTTTCCTAAACTCAATGCAAAATAGTGATTCTCTTCCTTTATGATACCAGAAGACAACTTCTATTACTTATATTTTGATATAGCTGAGCTTTTAGAAGTATCTTATTTTCCCTAGAAGAGTTAAACTGACCTTCATTTGTGAAGTTGGGATAAAAATCATAAGATTAGTAAACTTAAGAGGACAAGTGAGGTTGGGATTGGCAGAGGGAGAAATGATAAGAGGATTTTGATCCAGATGCATTGCCCTCATAAACACATGTTAAATTGAAACCCCTGTCTAGAGCTATTAAAACTAATAAAAATAATTGTATCTTTAAAAATCATAAGATTAGGTATGGATATTCAGAGATAGAATGATAGAACATACTTTAAAAATACCTTACACTGCCTGGTGCATAATGGTTTCTTTAACAATACTTGTTTGACTTACTATAATTTAACAAAATGATTACTACCATTGAATTTTGAGTTCATGATAAGTAAAATTGTTTTCTGGCCTTATCTCCAGTTTAGGGAAGATGTTTGAGACCTTGAAGCGGTCATATCTGACATAACTGTTCTCAAATGTTATTACTTTGTATATGTATGGAAACTAGAAAAAAAAAAAAACTAGTTAGTCTCAGAAAGCAAGAATGAATTCCATCCTGAAATTTTTGTAGATGCTGCTTCAATAAAATCTTTTCTGTTTTAGTGAATAATTCATGAGATTGACTTAAAGTCAGTAGCAGTTATTTGTCTTCATCCAATCAAGCTAATTTAAAATAAAACATGGACCAGTTAGTTAATAACAACAAAAATCTAATAACAACAAAAATGTAATGGCTGAGAAGCTCAATATCAATGTGCTAGCAGACTCAGTATATGCTAATACTAGGTTTCAACGAAGGCAACAACTCTTGGTTGGTAGATGGCACTGTCTCACTGTGTCCTTGCATTATTGGAAAGGTAAACAAACTCCCTTGAGCCCATTTTATAAGGGCACTAAGTAGATTCATTATGTAATCACTTCCCAAAGGTCTGGCCTCTAATACCATTACTTTAGAGGTGAAGGTTTAACATATTAGTTTTGAAAAGATAGAGTATTGAAAGTCCTACAGTAGTTGCTGTATATATTCCAGAGCTAATTTTATCTTATAAATATGCATGCATATGTTTTAAATATATATACATATAATCTTAGCATGTAATTTAATTTTTATTTTGTCAATAACAGACATAGTTTATTTTGTAAAGAATGTAGTGGAATGTAAGAATAGATACAAAAATATAACTTTCTAGGATTGTGTGCAAAGGAAAAGTTAAAGGCACCTTAAATGAGAGCACAAGGATCCTTCTAGAGCATAACTTTTCATGACTAACACTTTCACACAGCCTGTGGCTTCTCAGGAGACTTTATTTCCCATTACTTCTGGTGTTCTAGCTACAGTCTGGGGAGTAAGGTAATGAGTACGTTTCCTGTCCAGCATTGTTACCCCTCCTTACTATCCCTTCCCTTCTCCTCCTCCCTCACTCCTCCTCCCACCGCGAAGTTGTAAAGTTCATTTCCAACATAGTGTCTTGTAAGTATCATTGTTACAATGGGTCATCGTGTGACCTTATTTCAGCATTTTGTTATTCCCCTTCCCCTCCCTAAATTAGATAAATGTATATACAAGATGCAGGGCACCAGAATCAAATACAGTGGCAATAGGGGATATGCCATAGGGGGAAGAACATAAGAAAGAAACAAAAGAAAATTACATAGTACATTAAAAACAACAACAACAAAGAAAAACCTCTGGTGTCCATATCTCGGGGTTCATTTCATTTAGCATCATCCTATATGGTCATATGTACATAGCTTTTGAGCTCTTCTTCTCATCTGATAAGATTATCCTAGATGTTTATTTTGAGTAGGAAAACAATGCTTAATAATATGACCTAAATTCTCAACTTTCCTTTATAGATATATATATATATATATACATATGAATGAAACAAAATGTATAGTAATAAATATTAGACTCCACAATACCGTTTTAGAGATCCTCTTATTTAAAAAAAGCCATCTTCATTATCACATGAAAACTGAAATGTTTACTAAGTCTCAGAAGCATAAATTAGCTTTAGTATCAACTTTATTCTCAGAGCCAACCTGTGGTGAGTTTAAAAAAAAAACCCACATTGCCAACTATTATAAAAATCATATTCCTTCTCACATGTACCAAAATCTTATATCAATCATGAGTTCTAGGTTACAAAAGAAGATTTACTGTTTGCACCTGTCTGTAATGCTTTGTTACAAACAAAGAAACACACACAAATGCTATATAATGATTTCTTTTTTTGTCCTTGGGCTTGAACTTACAGCCTGGACACTGTCTCTAAACATTTTTCTTTGAGCCCAGCACCACTTCCCAATGTTCCTCTTTCAACTGTTTCAATAAAAAGGAAATGAGATGTGTTCATTTGATATTTTGATTGCCTATTTATTAAGGCAGCTTTGATTACAGAAATTTAAGAATTAACAAGTGAAAATATCTTTTTAAAATATATAACCATATATATATAAAATATATAACCATATAATCTCTTGTTTGGTCTTCTTACCTTAGCATGACCTTTCTTTGATTTATTCTTTAGAGAGGGAAATTCTAAAGTCTAAAGTATGTTATTTTTTGTTGTTGTTTGTTTTGTCAGTTGTGGGGCTTGAACTCTGCCCTTGGGTGCTGTCTCTATGCTCTTCAGCTCAAGGCGAGCGCTCTACCGCTTGAGCCACGGCGCCACTTCTGGTTTTCTGGTGATTAATTGGAGATAGGAATCTCAAGGACTTTCTTGCGTGGTCTGGCTTTGAACCGAGATCCTCAGATCTCAGCCTCCTAACTAGCTAGGATTACAGGCGTGAGCCACCAGCGCCTGGTTATTGTTACTCTTTTGCTTAACTCCTAGCAGTGATTTTGCATGTCCCATTTAGCAAGGGAAAATATCTTATACTATAAAGACTGTGGATTACTTGTTTTAGAGCAAGAAACTTTTGACAGATATGTCATTTTATGTTACATGATAAATTGAAACTTACTCTTGGCATATAATAATATATCTGTATATTCAAAATGCAATAACAGTGTCAGGCATTGTCACAGGCACTTAGTTGTAGAAATAAATAATCTAAATAGGATCTGAATAAGTTAGAATTAGTTCTATTGCTGTAAGTAGAGATCTACCTCTACAGAGACAGATATACCACAACATATATCTACATTTGTGGTTTCCAAGCTGTTTCCCATATCTAACAATTATCAGAAAATTTGCCACAATGAAAACTTAAGTATATATAAATATGAAGTACATAATAAAATTTTAGTTTGTATAATACACTATATCATGTAAAAATCTTGAATATAACATAAAATATTATATTATTTCTACACTCATATAAATGTAAACTAAGTGAAATCGATGTTAAAATCAGTGATGTTCTCTGAGCGCTGAAGGCTCACTCATGTGAAACTAGCTACTCAGGAAGCTGAGAATCACAGTTCAAAACCAGCCAACGCAGAAAAGTCCTTGAGACTCTAATGCCCAAAAAACTACTTAGAAAATGCCAAAAGTGGCTCTGTTGCTCAAGTGGTAGAGCACTAGCCTTGAGAAAAAAGAGGCTCAGGGGCAGCACCCAGGCCCAGAGTTCAAGTCCTAGGATCAGAAAAAAAAAGACAATTATTTTACCAGGTATTTCCAAATTACCTTTTTGGAAATTATGAAAATGTAAATCCTCAGGAATTATAAATATCTTGTCATACAATGTGGACATTTTGCTTTTCTGATGGTAAGCTCTGATTAAATTCTAATAATTTTATTAATATTGAGTGCTTGTAATTATCTTTTTCACATCAGAATTTTGTTTCTTATTAAAGTTGTTGCCCATCAGTTTATATTGTTTAAGAAGGACTGATAGGTGATACTACCTTTTTTTTTCTAGCTGTGGGGATAAAGCCAGGGCAATAAGCTACATACTAGCTCTGATTTTGGCTTTCATGTTTGTATTTATCAGTGATTGTAATAATGAGTCTTCAATTTTGTCATTTTTGAAGCCTTTTCTACTTCCAAGTAGGTTTAACTTCTAATGTGATGAGGATAACAGACATGAGCCACTGGAATCTTCATTTCTAGGCTATTATAAGGAACTTTGGAATCTTTGTAATGTTGAATCATCTGGTCCAAGAACAAAATATGAGCATTTACCCACATCTTTATTAGCTTATTACATCTGCCAAATCTATATTTTAAATATTTTCTCAAGGAAAGAATTATTTCCATGTTAAATCAGATTTTTCATGATTTTTTATGCTTTATAATCTGAATATATCTTTAAGTTTTATTAAATTTAATTAATTTGATCATTTTTTCATTTTCATATCAACTTTTGATTACACTGCATTTGATGTTGGTGCCCTGCATCTTGTATATACACTTCTCTAATTTGGGGAGGGGAAGGGTAAAAAACAAAATGCTTAAATAAAGATACAGGTTGACCCATTGTAACAATGAGATGTACAAGACACTATGTTGAAAATGAACTTTACAACTTCAGTGTGGGAAGGAGTAGTTGTAGAGGTGGGAGGGAAGGGATGGTAGGGGGAAAACAAAGGAGGAGGCAACAATGCTCAATAAGAAATGTTCTCATTACCTTGCTCATGTAACTGTAACCCCTCTGTACAGCATTTTTACAATAAAAAATGTACAAAAAAAGATCTCCTTCCTTATTTAGATAGGCATGGTACTATATTTCTCACCATTTCAAGAATAATATTACAGAGCTCTAATGATAAAATTTATACTTATGTAGATCTTTATTTTTCAATAATATCCTTTTTAAGTCTGAACACCATAATTGCCTCTAATATTTATATTCATTAGCATTTTATATTGATCTTTTGGTATATATATATATACATATATATACTATATATCTCTTGGTGTATATATATATATAAACACTATATGTAATGTATATACCTGTGTACATATTTTCCTAAAAAACATTATATAAGCCCCATGTATTGAACATTTTTATGAGGGAAGAATGTTGGGGTTTGTCAAATATTTTATAAGCATATATTAAAGGATTTATATGGAATCCATTAATTGCTTACAATAGTAGATTATAGATACTGATATCCTAATACTGAAATGTCTTTGTTTTGCAAGAGTAAGATATATTTGCACATAGTAAATTAGTCTTATAAAATATTGCTGGATTTTTTAGGGTTTCTCCATTCATTAGAGGAAATGAAATCATTGTATAAATTTCGTAATTGTATAATTTTTCATAAATTGTATAATTTTATGAATATCTGCTCTCTCAGGATCAGAAAAGGTGTTTCTCTGACTTTTTAAAATAGTCAGGGGGCTGGGAAGTTGGCTCAGTGGTAGAGTGCTTGCCTTGCATGCCTGAGGCCCTGGGTTCGATTCCTCAGCACCATATAAGCAAAAAGAAAAAAGCCGGAAGTGGCGCTGTGGCTCAAGTGGTAGAGCACTAGCCTTGAGCTGAAGAGTTGAGGGATAGCACTCAGGCCTAGAGTTCAGGCCCCATGACCAGACCCAAAAAAAATTTAAAAAATAAAGTAAAATTAAATAGTCAGGAATTCTCCTGTGTTTTGGTTAATTCTCATAACTTTTAAGTAGTGTTGGCATGGTTTGTTCCTTTAAGGATTAAAAAGTCATCTGAATTAGGCACTATTTCAGGAGGGAACTCTTTGACAATATCCTTAATATCCTCTATGATTATTGACCTGTTTAGGAATTTTATCACTTCTTAAGTAAATTTTGGTAGTTCAGGTTTTTCTAGAAAATCAATCACTTTATCTGGGTTTGCAAACATTTAATTTCCTGTATAGCTATAAATCTCTCACTTTTATCAAACTATAATCAGTATTTGTACATTTGCAGTCTTGCTAGATGAAGCTCGCTAGGGGCATATGATTTTATTAGCTGTTTTTAAAGTATAATTACATATAGTTTTGTTTCTATTTTATTAATTTTCCTTTTAATTTTTGTGTTTCTTCTCTACTTTCTGCATGGCAGTGAGAAGTAAGTAGGAAGCAGGATATAAGTCCTAGGAGTTTTCAGTTTTTAGTAAAGTCCTGATCTATCTATTTAGAAGAAATAAAAATTATAAAAGAAATAGTTGAGATAAGAGTCTGATACTCTAGGATACTGTACACATAGCAAGAAGTTATCAGGTTGATTTTGGGAACTTCAGCCCTCCCTTCCTATCAATGTTATTATTCTCTTGACATCTGAAGTTCAGTTTGTGTCTTAGCATGACATTTCTAGCAGTGAATAAAACGTAGACTTAGAAAACAAAAGAAGAAGATGAAGCAATTACTTGACATTATGCACATTGATTTTTCTGAGAAAACAAGTGCAACTGTCCTATTATCTAGTCAAGTTAATTTCCAGTCAGGCTTGGTATCACACATGCATAATCCCAGCTATTTAGATGATAGAGGCAATAGGATCATGAGCTCAAAGCTATTCCAGGTAAACTAGATTCACCATACCTCAAAAACAAGATGAAAACAAAAAGACTGTGAAATGTGTCTAAGTGGTAAAGCTCTTCCTAGAATTAATTAATTCAATTAACAGGACCTCAAAAGACCTCATTTCCATTTTCTCACCTTTTCTCCAAGGTGGCCTTGGGCAAATCATCTAGTGTCTTCACACCTTGGTTTCCTCATGTGTAAAATGGTTATAATAATTGTAGCTATCTCATAAGAGTGTTACGGGGGTTATATGGACTGTCAGGTCTCATAAAGATATATAGCATATGGTGGGTGACTGGCAAGGAGTAAGCTTTATTTAAGTGTCTACTTCAGAGACCATTGAGATCCCTGTGGATGGCAGCAGGCTGGGAGGATTATGTAAGAATTCTCCTTGCAAGGGTCCTTCTCTGTTCTGACACATGCTATGGGCTGATGAGGAAGAAAGCCCAAAGATAGCTACTTTTCTTTAGAACATCAACCAATAAAACTGCTTACTCTTGGCCTGTGGGCAGTTGCAATTAACTGTTTGCTGTTTGTGGTTCCTCTGGCTCTTAATCAATGAAGGCTGCATACTTCCTCTTGCAAATAAAACCCCAGGAGGCTGAGTAGTAAAGGACTTAGGAAGTATCTCAAGATACTTAATAGAAATAAGAACTTCAACTTCATAAATCAATTTTGTCTCCTTTCATCTGTCTGCTACACCAAGCCGTGGAGATCTGAGATAACCTTAGCACTGAGCAAACCATCAAGAGGGCCTCAGGCTCACACAGTTTGAGAAAGACA